ACAATCAGTTTGAAAAACGCAAAACCTGAAAACCTTTCAAATTGAAAAACGTGCAAGTTGAAAATCGCTCAGCTTGAGAACTCTCAGCTGGAAAAATGTTGAGCTTGAGAAAGACTTTGAATTGCTTTGAATCTCATTCTACATTCGATATTAAAAACAGTAATCTCCTCAACAAGTCAGACAAACTGATCACCCCTGTCGTCCATATATCACCAAAAAAAATGCATTCAAAAAATCTGAATATCTTGTAATTGATCAACACTTACACATTGTATTAAGCCTTAAGAGATTGTTTTACATTATTCATTACATAAATTTATAATTTTTTAATTTAAATGAAGCACAAAGAATGATGAAATACTTCATCCTACTCATCAATCTACTTATAAGCCCCCATTTCTTACTGTACATAGACTCAATGTTTTTTTTTCTCGAATTTTAAACAAGATTTTTGGGTGTGCCATTCTCATAAATCCAATTTTCCTACTAGACTTTTAATTTTAATTTGAATTTCTTTTGTTTCATCTGCCTTAAGTCACTCATTCATATTCAGCGGAGATAGCACATAGGAAAAAGCACTTAATACACCCATAATAAATTTAAAAAGAATGTGAAATGATAAAGAAAAATTTATGAAATTTATTGTTATTATTTTGATTAATTAATGCACATAACAACAATATTTTATGTATGTATTATTTATATTATTAAGTATCTCTGCCCATGTAATTATTATATTTGAGAATTTATGTCATTCACGCTATTAAAATGATAATTATTATTTGCATTGTTGAATGAATAAATGAAGATTGAAGATGAATAAATAAAAGATTATGTTTTTATCATTAGCCAAGCCTTTTTAAGTTATTCTCAAATTTCAATTACTTCGTTTCTTTTATAGCTTGTTTTTAGAAATAGAATGTTATGGTCACAACTTGCTATAGGAGTTGTCATAGTCAGGAATTCAAGTTTGAAGAAAAATTTCGGGTGGGGGGTCTAATAGTTTGAAAAATAAATTAAAATTAAACCACGCCACTAGCTAGCACTCAAAAATCTAACCCGAGCTCCACACTACTGCATGACAATCTAGTTTTTGCAAACTTGCAGAACATACTGTAATCTCTTCTATTAGTAAATTACAATGTTGGCCAGACTACATCACACTCTCGTTTATTTTCGGCACTACCAATATTCCCACAGCATCCACCACATTCAAAATATTAATTTATCAAAAATTTACTCCAAGGCCCATGCACTTCATCAAGTCAATGATCAGAAAATCGTAGAAATAATCTTTTTTCTCAGCTTGTGAATATAGAACAGCACCATTTGTAGGTGGATTTTTTCTCTCAATTCTATATTAAAATATGAAAATATCATCATCAAAATTAAATTTCCGTATGCTTGTGCAGAAATAAAATACTCAAAAGTCAGGAGTGGTCAACCTTGGGGATCAGACTCACTAAATTGTTTTATATGATCTTTAAAATTTTAATTAAAAATGATAAAAATTCAGATAGTGCCATGTCACAAAAAAGGTTCATCACCCCTGCTTTAGATAATCAAGAAATAAAAATTGCTCTCCAAAAATAAACTTGGAAGTAATTTAAATAAAGATTTTTACATTTATTTCATCTCAAAATGTAAACTGATGATGTTAAATCGCGTGCAATTAATCTTAACGACTTTACTTACTGACTGCTTGTTTTGCTTGATGATTGCCTACCGTTTTTATTTGTGAGAATGAAGAAATTTTTATTTTGCAAAATACAGGCGATAAAGGTTCATAGTGTTACTATATGTACACATAATTATAGAGAATGAAGTGAGAAGAAAAATGTTGATTAATAAAAAGAAAGACATACGCAAAAAAAAAAAACACGGGAAGTTTGTCGTTATGGATGGTGGGAAATACATTTAATATTTCATTTAAGATATATGATCTTAGAAAATGTGCAGCAATGTAAAGAAGATAAATTAGGAATTTTCCTTAATTGCCATGTAAATTAAGCTGCTTAATCTAGGACTACTCAAGCTGTGCTATGCATTTGCACTACTTTATGGCAAAAATTTAGGATTGACAGCTCAGAACTTACGAAAAATTACAAATGAATTCTTGATAAATGCCATTGACTGCTTAATATCGACCGAAATTGTCTCGTATTGATTGCAGGAGCGCTGTGCTTCATAAAATATGGATATGTGGTATGATCAGCAAGATCTGAGGTACCAATAGATTAGCACTAAATCAAACTATATGAGCATGAGGAACAGAACCTCATATGAGAGGTATAATGAAATTTTAGACCATTAGACTGTCTTGGAGCATAGTTTCAGTAGAACTGATCTAATTAGTGATATTTGAGATCAATAGTCTCCCCAATGAACAATCTCCTAGTCATTTGATAAAATCTCAAAAGTCTCTCAATCATAGCTCACCTCAATGCTGAATTTACATTCAAAGAAGCCGAGCATCATAAAATTCCATAAACATTAATGCTCTTATAACTTAAAAAGTTCTTTTTGGCTCCAAAAAATATTCAGATTTTGACATTTTGCGTTAATTTTTATGCAAATTGTTTATATTTTCAATTAAGTGTTTATGTTTAAGACTGTTTAAGACAATAACGGCCCATATCTTAACCTTCGATCTGCTTTTTGCGTATTTTGGTCTGATCATGATAAATATTTTGGTTATAATGTGTACATTATCCAAATGAATTAATAAGCATTGGCTCCTCTCAAAGATTTTTGACTCAAAAAGAAGTCGAGAATTGTTTGACATCAAAAGACAAACTAAGGAAGCAAGAATGATTAAGAAAAACTTTTGTAGGTGCGTATACAGATCCGCCCTTTTTGGTATTAAGTTTCGTATGAATCACTTTGTGTGAAATATGTAGCAATACAGGAAAAATATTGTCAATGTCCAATATGGACTAATAAATTTGAAGCTTAACAGCAAAGCTCATGGATTTTTTTTTATTTTTGCAGATGAGGAACAAGAATAGGCGTAGAAAATTGTATTGCTAATCACCGCATTGAATTCCAAAGCAAAACTATCGATGTTCAAACATCAATCAATGATTCCTAGTTACTAAATTTAGCAACATCCATCAACTTCAACTTCCCAAAAACAAAAAGTTGACTTCTCATACAAATCACTTTCTAAATAGACATAAGGCGGTTTGAAATCAATGAACGCACTATAAATGCTTTAGTTTCCTCACATTGTATGATTTTTAAGGTATTTTCACTGTTCACAATGTTTGGTTGGCTGGCTGGCTTACTGAAATTTTAAAAATCGAAGCTTTTAGAGACTGTGAACAGAAAATGCGCTTCAGTCAGCAGTCTAAGTAATACCACTGATCTTAATACTAGTTTACTTAAAAAACCCAGTTTGATATTGAAAAAAATTTCAATCGAACAGAAAAAAATCAAAGTAAATATTTAAAATACACATCCAGAAGTGACTGAGTAAATTAAATGAAGGGCAAATTTTATGACATCAATCTGCAAGCTCTTCCGCCTTATGTTCATTAAAAAGTAGTCGATTTTTCAATAAACAATAATGCTCATGAATAGATCAAACGAAATTAGTGCTTGCATCATCATCGCCCTACAAAAAGTTTTATGTCTAAGTCACCCAATATATAGACTGCAATTAGAGAAGCGTAAAGTAACATTAATTGGATGTGATCGTAGTCATGAGTTGAAAGAAATCAATAGACACATGAACATAAATTCGAATAGAGCTATTAAGTCGAGCAAATTGCCATTCTTACTCTCGAAATCATTTTGAGTCTCGTCATACTCAGTCAAGAGTTTCTGCATGTGTATATACGTATTTGCTCTAAAGTTCTCTAAACTCAAAATGTGAAAAAAGAAAATAATTTTTTTTGGCGAACGTCCCATAATTCTATTTTTAAACGATTCACGATTTTGCGGTAATTTTGAATGAATGATTCAGGGATGGTGATTGAATTAATGTGATGATGAAAATCTTTATTATCGGACACCAATCATCTGCTATTATTTCCTGGACGCAAATTGATGCTGTTCTAGAAACAAAAAATTAGTGATTTATAAAAAAATTTATTTAATGAAATGCGAAAGATTTTTTTTTTGTAAAACAGATTTTATTTTTTGGAGGAGAAGATTTGTGCTACTCACAAATTTTTACGATAAATAAAGTTAAGGGGTGCTAGGAGATCATTGAAAGGAGTTTTGAGCGCATTTTTCATTGACTTGCTTTTGTTTAATTTAAGGGGAGTTCAAGCCAATCAGAGGCAGAGCTAGATTTGTCGGTTTAGTGCTAAAACCAGTCAAAGCTCATTAGGTCCTTGTAAGATCGTAGCTTTTGAGAGTAGGTTCGACTCCCAACTCCATCGATGAGCAAATTTGATCAATTTAATGACAAACATTTCAATCCAACGATCTTTTGATTGCCCTTATAATTAGTCATCTGAGCTCCGATTTGCTTACTAGGTTGATCATCATCCCGCAATGACAATGATTCCACATTAGCTGAGTAATCTTCTTAAGAAATGCAAAAAACTGTGTTTCTAGTATTTTATTTGCCTGCAGCAGTTACTAATAACATGACTCAATGATAAGGTTATCATGTTATGCGGTCAGGCTGCAAACAATTCATAAGATAATTATTTTATTATGTTAAAAACATTTTAATTAGATGTAATCATAGTTAAACCAAGGCATGTGCTATGCATAAAATTCAAATGTGTGCCAATGATCTGCTTAAACTCTCTTAAGCAATATTTTATGCATTACAATAGCCCAAAATGAACAAACATCTCCTCGCATTGTTACAAAAAAATGATGATCACAGAAACTGTTTTTTTTTTTGAGAAGACGAGCGACGATGAGAAGAAAAAACGAAAAAAAAAACTATTTTTGAGTGGATTTCACATCGGGTTCATGAGCACACTTTTCCTACGCGATTTTTCCCTATTCAAAATGATTTTTCCGCAAAAACAGTAAGTCTTTTTCTCGTTCGGTCTATGGTGATATTTTTTCAGTTTGACTTTTAGCGTTGAGCGAGAAAATTCAGAAAGGCGATCTATAAATTTATACAATTTTTTTTACGTTTACTGACGAATCAGCCACAAGGCATATAGAAAATCTGGAGTAAATAGACATTAACAAGAGTGGAAAATTCCTTGTCGAAAATAAAATAAAAAATATTGAGCCAGAGAGTGATGTGTTCTTGATAATTCATGGTCAATAAACAAGACTTTAAGTGCTGTATGATGTTCTAAATTCTTGTGAGAAGAGTATATCCACAAATATAGAAAATGGAGGACAGTGCTGATGAAACACCGAGCTCAAAAATACGCGGTAGCTTTAAATTTTTTTAATAGAATTCCTGATTTATTCGTCACATGTTGTTTTGTGTGTCTGCCTGTGTCGGTTTATAAAATGATTTTGCGTGACATAAAAGATTCTCACACTTCATTTTCCTGTCTTACTGATTTCGTTGTTATTCTTTTTTCTGTCCACAAAAATAAATTAAAATTAATTTGCTAGTCATGCAAACAAACAAAATCATTTTGTTTCCCACCCGAGCTGCATTGAAGTTCAATTTGACGAGGAGGTGATGTGATGTTGCTTTGTGGCTTCAACTGTCAGAGCACTATACTGCCATGTGGCTGTTGTTGTCGTGTTGTCATGATCAGATAAATAGAAGTAAAGAGTTGTTAAGGCATGAAATTTGTCTATCTATATCGACAGTTTCTAGTTGACACTACCATCAAGGCGCTGGATGCAACCTGGCACGAAACTCAGGTTACAAAATGTCTCAGCAACAGTGACCGTCACATGGTAGTCATGTGGTCCGATACGTTTTGTGACAAAACAACCTCCTCGTCTACATAAATCTTCACTATCACTCGGGTCATTCAGCATGAAGTCTAATTTTCAGACTTGATCAGCATCCTGTTGTAGAATTGAATAGCATGATTAGTACTTAGATTTGACCACAATATCTACTTTTATTTAGATCTATCTTCCTCGTGTATAAAGAATTTGAGCATATGCTGCTTTGCTGCTAATAATATACATTTTTTTCACTCCTTTTCCTCCAATTGCACTAATTTCTGATGTGTACATAGCTTCTTATAGATGCAACATCACCACACATGCATATACATGACACATTAATTGACTATAAATATTAATTCTGGTTTTTGTAGATTTAATCAGTGCATCGCTATTAGCTACGCCCGACAAGCATAAATGTGATGAAAATAATAATAGTAATAGCACACCATCGACATCAACAGCAACAGATGCGGAAAAATCATCAGAAAATGCTCATAAAAGCACTAATAATGACAGTTGTGTGGATGACGATCGTGATGAAAAGTCGGAAAAGATAAAACCAAAAAAGATGGTCGGGTTATTCCCGCTCGACTTAAGATCAGAGCTCAAACAGCGTGTTGGTGGTGGAAAGTCTGGATTTGCTCTAAAAAAATCGTCAACACATTATGACGTATCAAATAATTTAGTGATGAGTGAACCGATTTCAATCGGATTCGGTAGGAAGTCATGTGATCGTCCAAAGACAGAAATAAAGAAGAAAGACGACAGCGATGATGAGGACGGAGGTGTTGAAAATTTGTCGTTTAAGGAAAAACTGCAATTAATCGAACGCAGTAGCAGCCGAAATGCTGTAAATTCATTGTAAGTATTTGTTTTGTCTTTTATGGGAATCAATAGCTTAAATATTTTAGGTGGGTGATCGATTCGCTAATTTTTTGTTTTTATTCAAGTTACTTCTGTGAATAATTATTACAATTTTTTAAAAAAAGCAAATACTGGAAATATTTAACTTATTCTTTGTCACTATCATCAGTTGTACTCAAACTAAGAACTTTATCAAACACTTTCTTTGACGTTATGCTTTCCTCATTTGCATTGTTTCGTTTCAATCTATCCCGTAAATTAAACACCATGTCAATGACATTGGGCATCATATTGGAACCACTGCTTGGTATAATTAATGGCAAATTGCCTGTTTTACCAAATGCACCCAATCCAGTGCTTAACACATTTGTAGCACAACTAAGAGCCATCATTGTTGTCATTTGTTCATTTTTCTTTTCTGCAGCTTCTCTAGCTCTCTTTTCTTCTTGTCTTGCTTCCTCAGCTTCTAAAGTTTTCTTCTTTTCTTTTGCTATCGATATCATTCCCAACTTCCACTGAATAAACATTTCTTTAATTTTTTCTTTCAATAAATCTTTGAAATTGAATATATGTCCCTGATTACCCATTTTGTTTTCATTGTCATAAGCTTCTAAAACTACTTGCTTAAAATGATTATGCATTTCTAAGATATTGTCTTCTTCTTTTATATCTTCATATTTTTTTTGTGCAAGTTCATATTTTGCAGCACATTTCTTTATCAATTCATTCATGTAATTATCGATTGTGCCTTCAGCAAATGATTTTATATTAAAATTGTTGGAATTAATCAATTGAAAATATTTTTCAAGATATGTTCTCATCAATGATCCTGTTAAATCTATTCCATTAATTCTTTTTGGAATCAAATTATTTGGCATTAAAAGATGCTCAATGGCATTTTTAAACTCTACTTTGGATCTGTCAGACATTTCTGATAAGCGACCATCATAACTTTTATTTTCACAAACAGTGTTTCCTGGATGTGGCAACAGACAGCATTCGATTTTTTCGTATGCATTATTAATATGTTGTCTAACTGACAACACTTCTTGATTCTGAACAGTTTTTTCAATGTTTAATACTTCGTTGATATACTTAGTTCCACCAACCATTCCAAAAGGATAATCGCCTGGATATGGAAAATCTCTCAAAAGAAATGTCAACTTTTGGAACGCTTTTGCATCATTCCCGCCGGTCAATTGATTATTTCCAAGGCAATTAGCAAAATCAGTTGCAAAATTTAAATGTTGAAGATGATTTTCATCGATTTCGCGCATTATATTTAATACTTGCATTGAAGATAATAAGCTACTTAGAGCAAATATTTTAAAATTCTCAGCAGTTCCAGATTGATCGTCAAAAAGTCCTTGGGTATCAATGACAAGAATTGCAAGTTTTTCACCAGTTTTTTCGATTGTATGTAGGAAAATGTCGCTCCACATTACTATTCCAGTTGTGTCACGGTCCCTTCCAGAGCGCCATGAAAATCCCTTAAGAGGTGCATTCGGTTCACCCATCCAGTTTGAAGATCCACTTGGTGGTTGAGGATTGTTCACAGAAGAATACTAAATTAGAGAGAAATTATTCAAAATTAAATTAATTATTGAAACTTTTATTTATAGAACTTACGTGTGCATATAGAAATCTTAAGCAATAATCCAGAAAGAAACTTTTTCCTTTTCTAAATGATCCGACTATAGAAAAGACAACAATTTTTCGATCTTTAACGTTACAATGATTTAACATTCTGTCTATTTCTGTCGAGTTGTAAAAGACATCATTCTCATTTATAAATTTTAATGCGACAATTGGTCTTGCAAGAGGACGACTTAAAGCCATTTTGGAGTTTAATAAATTAAATTAAATTTCACACACTTTTTATAATTTCTTCGAGACACTGTAAGTCTTAAATGTATTTTTATATTTGAAACTGTCCTACGTTCTGCAGTGGATTATATACTGATCTAAAGTGTTCAATATAAAATATAACTCATAACATCAATATCAAGTTATAACAAGATATATCATCGACCAAATTCTTAATCAACATTGCGAAATTCAATTATGAAATGTTATAAAAATTTTCATTCAATTATTCAATATAAGAAAAAAATGAAACAGCCAAATGTAACGTATCTTGAATGTTATACATCGTAAATTATCAAATTTTCTTCAACATTTACTGCGGAATCATTTAAAATCCTGATAACACGAGTTTGCTGTTTTTTTTTGCCTGCATGATTCATCAGCTCATTCATTGATTTTTCAATTTAAAATCTTGAACTGTTTTCATCACTTGAGTCTTATAAATGTCAATGAGATTAACGAGAATCTCAATAACTTGTTAGGGGCCGTTCACGTATGACGTCCAGAAGGAATTGGGGTCAGCAACAAAAGAACAATAGAAATTCTTGGAAATTCATTGTTCTTTTTTGAAAAATTACCGTTAATTTCGGACGTCATAAGTGAACAAACCTTTTATGGAAATATTGTTATTCATCTTTTAAGGCTTTCTGAAAATTTTTCAGGAAGTTGAGGTTAAATTTTCTTTTAATTGAGTTTTTCTTATCGGAAATTTAATAATTTTGAATTTTTAAATCATAACAATGTTCCTAGCTTTGTCTAGATTCTTGAGTTCAGATAAACAATACAAATCGTTATTAAACTAATCTCAAGCACCTGTATCATGTTGACAACTCAATACATTGATGAAAAATACCTAAAATGTCACAGCAAGTTAATAAATACATTTTCTTAATCACCCATCCATTTATCATTCCATCAGATCTACAATTATTTAATAAGAAATAATAAAGCAAAAATATTATTTATGCCAGTCATCCATTCATGCAAAAAAGGTGCTATAAAAATTCACTTTACATTAAATTCAAAAAAAAAATGTTAAATCAAGTCGTCGCGCGCCTTCACCTAACAAACATTCAATCCAAGAATGGAAATACTTTACGACTTAATTTAAATTGAAATAAGGAGAGAAGAGTGATGCAGAAAATACACAACAAAAAATCAGAAAACAGAGACAGAAACTCTGTCAAGGTCAGCAAAGTCACGTGCTGTTGTTTCTCTTTCTTTCCCTTTCGATAGTTTATTCTACTGTTCTGTGACGTCTCTTTAATTCGCGCGTATAGCTTTGTATGTAATTAATACATTTATGGTAAAGCAAATTAGTGATGAATAGATGTAGATAATTTCATTTAAAGCGTCAACAATCCGTGTAAATATTTCAAGATATCCAATTAAGTGGTATGCTTTGTGAATATTAAATAGGGGTCAATTGGAGATGACATGATGTGAAGGTATATAAAGGGGTTGCGATTGGGTCATTGTAGTCGAGTATCTTAGCTGCGATATCAAAAGGAGACACAAAGTGCTTCGTATATGGCATAAAAACTCACCCATCACCAAGAATCCTTAACAACCTTATAGTGCGCTGTCCAGCAGATAGAATAGGAGTCACTAATGTATAGTTCAACCATTCCCCAACATCCAAATGACTCCCAAACCTGTGAACATTATTTTACATAAATTCATAGGCGTTTTCATCAAACAAATACTTGTTGATGATGATTTCTTTTGTATGTCTGGATTTAAATATTTTTTTTTCTTTCATTCTGCGGCTGCCTTTTGTCCATAAAAGCCGATAATCAACTTTATAACGATTATTTTCTTTAGGAAGGCAAACAAAACTAAATGAGATCTTAAAATAAATCGACAATTTTTGTTGAAATGCTGAATGCGGTTCAAAAGTTCACAGAAATATTTACAGAACTATAATTATGGCTTTGCGGAAAGATTAAGAAATAATCTATGCAAAGTAATCTAAGACTTCCTTTGGTAAAATATGCAATTAATGTAGCGTGGGAATTTTAATTGTTGTAGATTTATTAAGGTGCAATATTAGTCAGAAATGTAGAGTTGTTTTGATTAGGATTTAATGAGGTTTGTGGAGTGTTCAGGTTGACAGTAAAAATTGAATCTGATTGGCAATCTTCTTAATATTCTGGTTCCCAATACACGAATGATTGTACAATCATTAGTTTAGAAGTTTACATTCCGAATAGCACAAATCAGGTAATCGATCCGAAGTCCGGAACCAAGCCAGTATGATTCGGGATTTAAATAGAAGTCAGCACCATGTCAGAGTTAAGGATTCCTATTCGATTAACCGACTTGTGCTATTTAACATCAACAGTTTAGGATTGAGGATTGTGTCCAGAGTTTGCTTAAGTTCTTCGTTAGAAATTGACTAGTTTTCCCCCCTTCAAAACCTTCCATATCCACAAAATCTCTTGCAAGGGCTCAAAAAATGTTCATTTACAAACATATCTTTCCGGATATTTTCTCATTATTTATTGAAAATGAAAAAAAAACAATATTTCAAGCCCCATTGAATAATTGAGTGTCGTTCAGAAATTCTCGCTTACCTTGAAAGGGGCGAACTGTTGACTTGAGAATGTATGAAAACGATTAACACGATTATTATTACTTACTACTTCTATTAATTTACGATTTCAACTGAAAAGTCATTTTATTGAATGGAAAATCATGAACCTGACTGTGCAACTTATAGATATGTATGGTATGTAGCTTACAGCTATTGTGACAAAGTCGGATTATTTCTCCACAATGGAATGTTTTTTATTCTCTATTCCATTAATTTATGAGATGAATGGATTTACCACTTAAAATCTATCGACAAAATCCGCAAACAGCGCGAACTTTTCTTTGTTGTCGTTCAATTTTGAAATAATTAAATTAAATCCGATAGAAAAATAAAAAATCAAATAAGATCCATAAATGTATAGACACGAATAAAATTGTACAAACTTTAAATATTTACAAATGAATAATTTGATGTGCAGCAACAGATCGTGTTTGGGCGTGTTTGTTATTAAATTGTTTAATGGACATTTAGATAAACGTTGTAAGGCGTTTAATTTCTAAAAATTGATAGGTTTACTAAGGATTAAGAGAGTCTTAAGCTAAACTTTCAATTTCATTGGCACTAATGGAGAAATTTCATTAACATTTAAAGACCAATTTTCAAATTGTCAATATTTTTTAGCGTGCGATTCACATCAAGTTGTGCTGCGCGTGCTGTGAAAATCATTAGAAATTCAATTATTTGCCGACTGTTTTTTGGAATTGTTTAAAAGTTTTAATAGTTGTAATTTATTAAATTGAGTGTAATTTGTTAATTTGATTTATGGATAGGCAATCAAATTTAGAGTAAGTTTTCAAAAGTGAATTTCTTTTGGTGACTTTTTCAAAATTTACGTAAATCAAAATTTGAAATTTAATAATTTTTCTTACTTTTTATAGTAATAAATCACAGATTATGTCTTGGGATTAAATTAATTTCATAATATTTAATTGATTTGAATGACACTAAGGTCATATTGAATCTATAAACTGACGAGTTGCTGACCTGAATTCACTAGTTTGACTTTTAAATTCTTGTGGATTTTATGATTTAATGTCATTCCAAATGAATTGATCTCTAAATTTAATTTAATAGTATGTGGTTGTTCACTTATGACGTCCGATATTACGGGCATTTTTCAAAAAAGAACAATGGAATTGCAGGAATTTCTATTGTTCTTTTCTTGCTAACCCCCTCCCCCTGAACGTCATAAGTTAATGGCCCCTGAGACAAAAAAGCTCAAGATCTTGTTCTTATTCAAGAACATTAATACGCATTAAGGCAATCAGATAACAATTTGCTTTATTGAAATTTAAATTTGCTTATCTTTTTAATAGGATTAAGTTCCTTGAAAAACCATCTTCATTTCGTGTCATGTCTTGTTTATAGAATGACTAAAAACAAAATGTTTCATTCATGTTTTCTCAAAATGTTTAAACTTAGAAGATTAGTGAAACATTAGAAAGCTAAAAGAAAGGACAGATTGTTATCAGCAAACAGTAATAACTGTGTCTCCTGTTTAAAATGTTTATCTATTTACTTAAAATTGGTGTTGTAAACCTCAGGATAATAGATTATTTAGAATTTTTGAAGGACGGTTGACGAAACTTGTAACTAAGGTCTTTTTACTGCAATATTACGGGATTTCCTAGGGTGAATTTCTAACTGCAAAAAGTTTCTTTTGTTGAATTTTGAGAAAAGCTTGAAGCAAATTTGGGATATATTGATCATTTTTGAGTAGTTTTGCACCCTTAGTTTGGAGTTGATTTGGGTTTGATTAGTTTCAACAACAATGTAGTCTTAACCGAGACTCAAATTAGGAACCAAGTAGAAAAGTGTTTGATTCCCTGTGTGAATTTCTCGTAATCACTCCCTAATTACTAGTTCAGATTTAAATTGAATCGCAGTGCCTGCTACTTACTGTAAGATCTCCCTATAACTGCTATATGTGTAAACTAATATAAAACAAGTCGAATTCGATGGAAATCGAACCCACGACCTCAAAAGAGAAGATCTCTGACCACTCGATCAGAGATCCCTGCCAATCAGCCACCGAGGTACTTATCTCACTTATGTTATCTGTCATACACATGTAAACAGTTTCAACGCGAGCCCTATGCGCAAGCCTATCTACAACAGATATGCTCTTTGAGCCATATCTCCACTTACTTCGCTGGTTGTACAGATCAATTGTGATCCATTACCTCCTTTAGTCGTTTCCTAAAACTAGCTCTATCGCTGGTAGTCGTCTGCTAATTGTCAATTCCAAATACAACACTGTCTCTATCAACAGTGTTCCAATTCAACAAATTTATTAAAAACTGATGCAAAAGAAATGCAAAAAAATAATATTTTAATGCAATATTTTCCATTCGTTTCACAAAATGCTGTCATTAAAACAAAGTATCTTTTCACAGTTTATTCGCATGAATGAAATCATTAAACACAGTCCTATGCAGCTGTAATTATTAGTCTGTCAAACAATTTT